ACATGGCTGTGGGTCCTGACCATGACACAATTCTCATGTTCAGGAATGTGATTTCATGCTATGTGTGTTGCTGAACTGCAAGCTTTTGGTTCTGACTTCATGGTACTTAATCTCTTCCATGCCAAAAATCGCTTAATAGCATCTCTTATGTTCAGCTGAACTGCTCCACTAGCCCAAAAGGAAAACTTTGTTTCAAGGTGGATTTAAACTTTGCTGGAAAAAAAGAAAAATCTAATTAGACTACTTAATATAATTTACACTGTTGTTCCTTCTGTCTGTGATGTGCAGGGGGTGCAGGAGGGCTCTGCTGACCTCAGTGAGCACACTCACCAGCAAGGCAGATCAAAAATCACCATTGGGCTGTGTTCTGCACACCCCACAAAGACTGGAAGATTAGAAACTAAACACAAATCCTAAACACTGTTATACCCAGAGAACAGCCCTCCCACTGCCTCTTTTGAGCTGGGGAGAAAGTGAAGAGTCACTTTGCAGGATGTCCTTCACACAGCTCCTGCTCAGTCTTGTCGCTGTGATGAAATGATCCCTCTGCACAAAGCCCATCCAAAAGCAGCTAAAAAGAGTGGCTGAATGAGATGGAACCAGCAGCCATCCCTCACAGGTGGTGTGCCAACATCAGGGGCTCACAGGGCTGGAGTCTGAAGAGCAGCCCTCTAAATTCTGGGCAAAACTGGCCCCTTTTTGCAAGTTATTTGGAGAGCAAGCCGTGACTGCAGCTCCTCCCCCAAGCACTTCTGTGCTTCAGTCTCTCCAAATCATTCCTCAGCCCAGCTGAAGGTCTGCTGCCCCGTGACCACACTGCAGCTTTCTGCAACAGAGGCTGGCTCCCAAAAACCTGATGTTCATTGAGGACATGCAGCTGGGGAGCCTGGCAGAGCGTTTATTTCTTTCAAAGACAGATCTGCCCAGATGAGAACCCTCCAAGTGCTCTGCAAAGCTGATGCCAGTCACATTTTCAGAGTTCCAGTGTTTAACAAAGACTTCACTCTGGGGATAAGAGCATTGTCCAGCAGAGGAGGTGACAGAGACGTCAAATCTATCTGCCAGATGTCGGTGTCGTAACTTGTACCGAGACTCCTTTCTCTTTGTGCACTTGGCCCTGCCGCCTGCAACATGCATTTCCCAACTGGAAAGGCCTCGCACACCCCTATTACTGGGAAAAAAGAAAACTGCCCAAAGGGAGAAAGTACAAAAGGTTTGCCTTTGCTACAGGAAACTGGAACTGCCAACACTCTTGCTGAACTGAGTGCGTCGGCAGAATTAGGGTTTAGCAGTGGGATAGAAATGGAGGGAAAAAAATTCCCAAGTCAGGTTATTTTCTCTCAAAACCAAGTAGAATAGAGAAATAAAATTCAGTGATCAGAGCTCTTCACAGTCTGGAATTTCATTGCATGAAAAACTCCAAGGTTGTTCTCATTTTCTCACCTTCCCAAATGAGGATGCAAATCTCAGCCTCAGGAGTTTAGCTGTGCATGGATTTAGGTACAGAGCTTTCATACTTGTGCATATTTCATTTCAGCAAAATGAAAATCTTTCGTGTTATCCTGCTCTTTCTGATTTTTTGAATACAATGCACTTGAAAATTAAATGTGGTAATCCAATGATTACAACTTCCTGCAAAAATGAATAAGCAATAAAATTTACATTTCTGTGAAATGTTTTGACTTAACAAGATCATAGTTTTCCAGTGGAAGACTATTCCCTTGGGAGTTTCTGACCAGCTGTAGCTGCAGCATTTGGAATACATCTGTCATCCTAGGAAATGAAGGATTATCAGAACCACAGGAGCACAACTAAGTGCTTGTTGTGAGGCTGAGGGATGCTCTGAGTGTTGGAAGCACCAGGGTTGCTGAAGTTTTCCTTTCTCTTTCTTTGCAGTTTTAAATCCCTCCTACATCTGAACACAGAGTGTTGAATTATTGAATCAGTGTGTGTGAATATAAACACAAACCGTGCAACTAGAAAACAGATGAAACTCCAGTAGATGGCGCTCAAAAATATCCCAAATTTGTGTCCCTGCTCGGCTGTCAGGACCTCGGTGCTGCTCAAATCCCTTGGGGAGGCAGCTCTGGCAGCAGCCCTGGGCAGCCTCGTCACCATCACTCAGAGACAGGGGATGCTCAGAGCTGCAGGGCCTGTAACAAAGGTGGGCTCAGCAGTGGCTGGAAACACAGAAAATGCACCAAAAGCAAGTGGATTGAGAGATCTGGGTCCTGTAAAAACACAGCAAAGTTTTTGAGAAATGTTGGGAACCAGGGCAGTTGTAGAACATGACTTTACAGGCAGGGGAATGTCTGGTTCCTTGTAGTCCTGTTGTTCAGTAATGGCCACTTCTGGGGTCACTTTTACATTTTGTGGCTCTGACTGGAAGGACCCTGTTGTATTTCAAAAGCTGTTGAGTAGTAATTCTTCCACAGAAGCATAAGTGGTTTTACCACCACCAGGGGAATGGTTTTTATTGACCATTCTGACCAAAGACCAGAGTGAAAGTTGATACCATCTGATTGAGTCCCTGGTTGGTGGCCCACGGGAAATGACCTAAAACAAAGCCCTCCACACAGCCAGGGAAGAGAAGCCTCCCTAGGCTGGTTGCCAACATGCTTCAGTCCTCCTCTGCAGTACTGATCTCTGCTTTAGCATTAGTGTGAGCAAAACACACACGGGCACATGGATTCTCCCTGATTTTTCTGTCCCATCCTGAGCTCCAGGCTTCATGCTTTCACCTCTGGTTACTTTAACACCAACTGCACTTTTTTGTGTCTGTGTCTGTAGTCCTGCCTGGCATGGAGCAGCCCAGGCTGCAGTGAGGAAGAGCTGGCTGCTAGAAAAGCCACCTCAGCCCCACTGATGTCACACAGAGAGACGAGCAGAGCGGTGACTGTGATGTGAGTGCTGTGCTCAGCCTCATGGCTCGTGTCTTTCACAACACTTGGAGCTGGTGGCACTGAGGCTACCACACCTATCACGGCCCAGCTGCTGCGATGGAGGAACTTTAGGGTTTTGCTAGGGGAAGAACAGCTTATTCTCTAAATTGTTGGTGTTTTCTTATAAAAAACTAATGAGATGTTGGTCCTGTATGCATTTAGTCACTCGTTTTGCAAGAGCTAAACCATCAGCAATAACTTGACCATCTTTATGGTCTTTCATGTGAGTTATATTACTCACTTCAGCAGTTTTGCCTTTGGGGAAAAAAGGGAAAGGGGTGACAGGATGCTTTTCTTCAAGCCTGCATTTCATTAAACTTATGCTGTACTGCTTTTGCTCCCGATTAGGAAACAATTTTATTCCAGACCCAGTCATTAGACTTTCTTGAGAAAACTGTTTATAGAGAAATGGTTAAGAGATCAGGATGTTTCTTTACAAGGTCATTGTGCAATCCAGAGTGAAAAGTCCTTTGCTTGTATGCTAGCAGAGGTTGTTCTTTGAAGCACCATCAGTTGGTAGGCAAAGAATGAAATTACCTAGATAGAAGCAAAGCAGAAGTGGCAACAGAGATGGTCATTCATAACACAGCCCATGGATTCCAGGGAAATAAATCTGTTCAGGGGAATCTCAGCTAATTCACATTACTTGTCTCTTTTACTGCGTGAAGCAGCAGATTTCTGTCGGCAGTGCAGCGAGGGTGCAGGGGAGAGAACAAAGAGCAGCAGGCAGTGAGAATGTGACACCATCCCTTCCCGCATTGCTCCGGGCTGCAGCTCTGCTGGCTGGATGTTATTTTAGCGGCTGTGCCTCCCTCCCATGCCGTCCCAGGGCCCGGGAGCCGCGGCTCTGACGCCCGGTTATCCCGAGGCTTATTCATGTTCAGGAATGGGAGGGTCAGGGCCATCGACACACACCAGCATCCTGCTGCCTATTATTTCCTGCCAGCCCTGGCGTTGCACCAAGCCCTAACATGACAGGTGGATGGAGTTCACAAGGAAATCATGTCATGGGCCAGTTTTCCAGGAAAGCTGTTAACTCTATTCACAAACCCAGGCCTTCAGATGGAAAGGGAACGTGGCTGAGAAGAGGCGGTGAGGGGCTGCTCTGCTGTTATTTATGTTTTTGTCACAGATTATTCGCTGACATCTCTTGCTGCAGCACAAAAACCTTTACCTCTGCACAGTGCCTACACCTTCAAGTGAAGACTGGCCTTTTAACTTAAAAAACCATGGGGACACTGCCTCTGCAAATCCCATGTGGGCATTCGATGCCAGTCAGGCTGAAAAAGATGGTGAAACAATCTGCCTTTTGCTGAGCTAAATGCTTCCTGGGAAACAGAAATTAAATATGAGGTGAGGATCTAAGACTGTTAACCTGTTAACCTGGGGACTTCAAACATTTTGTAAGAATGAAACTGAGGATAACTGAGGATAAACCAGGATGTATCAGAAACAAGACTTACATATTTTTAAAAGTCTCCATCAACAAGGCACATTTACTTTTCTTCCATTTCTCTGTGCAATGTCCAACATCTGCAGTTGTATGTTCTTTTTCTTTCCTCTTTTTCTGTTTTTAAAATGTAATAATTTTGCTATTAGTATAGAAAGCACAGAAGAAGAGTTAAGAGGAAAAGCAATCAATGCAAAAGAAGTGCTTTTCAAAATTGCCATGTTTGCTACAAATGCAAATTTTAGGATGCACAGAGTCTCAGGACAATAGGACTCCAACTGGCTGCTCACAAGAGGAAGGATTAGGTCCTGTGTCATGTTAATAGTGACATCAACAACCTGAATAAAAGCCAAAAATTCAAGTAGATTTTGCAGTTTAAGACCATTGTTCTCCCACATGGTTTAGCCTGTAAGATTTAGTCTAAACATAGATTTCTGCCAGAATTGATAGTTTTCACATCATACAGTGCAGTTCTTGATATGTAATGTACTTCATTATATAAAAGCCCTTCATGACTGGCAAATATTTACATTGATATAGCTAAAATGTCATATAAGCTAGAGGCAACAAAGGTATTGGAAATATAAAAGCAAAAGTTATATTTGTCAATGCTCAGCAGTACTGGTAATATCTATGCAAAATGATGGCTGCCAGTATTGTTCTGCTCTTCTTATTTTGCAGCCCATTGTAAAAACAAAGTAGGTGAAACCTGCTAATAATATGCACCAACTTCCCCCTCAGATATCAAAGGAGCATAACCCTGGATTTGAGTCTGGATAAGCAAAGCTGAGGCAGGAACACGGGATATTCCAGAGAGCTTGTTCCTGGCCTGACTCTTCCGGATGCTGATGAGACTCAGGCCTCTCTTCGTTCCACACTCCGAGCTGGTTCCTGTTCTCTGGAGCTGCAGTAATTCTGTACATTTGGTGTTTGGTAACAGGAGCTCTCCCAAGTGTCCGTGGCGGAGAAACTTAATTCTTGACACAGGTCCATGAAACTAACCTTCCTTTCTCTCTTTCTCTCTCTCTCTTTTTTCTTTCTTTCTTTTTTTTTTTTATAAACCTGGAAAATTATGGTATTAGAGCCAGAGTCACGTACGAAATGCAACACGTGAAATGACTGGGGAATTGTAAATTGGGCGTTTTGACTTGAACTAAATCTACGCATTGTCATACCAATCTGATTATTATTTTAAAATACTGTCCCAGGCTATAACTGTCTTTGTGTACAATAGCAATACAGGGTGTAGTTACAGACACAATTTCCTGTGCTTAGGTTTTGCAATTATTATTTAAGATCACTGTAACATTTGCCCGGAGCACCAGCGCAATTCCTCTATTAGATAATTTTCTATCCTTGTGAGGGCAGTTTTGCTTGTGCAGTGCTGCCAGAGCTTTCAGGAAGGGATAGACAAGTAATTGTGACAATAAAATTTGCACCAGCTCCCACCCAGCCTCTCCCAGAACTGAAACACCATTTGTGGCATTCAAAGCCTTTTCACACCAGAAGGGAAGGTGTTTCTGAAGAGGAAAGTCACTTTGATCTCCGCAGGGTTGCATCCTTCTGCTTCTCAGATTCCCGTGAGAAACACCGAACAGCAATCAAAGACTTGGTGCACTGCAGCACCCAGGCAGGAAACTCCAAATCAATCCAGATTAGGTCATGGAGTTCAAAATTTGAAGCAGAAATTCTGGTTGGGCTTTAAGGGCTGAAAAGGGTGTGCTGTTCCTGGGTGTGTAGAGAGAGAGAGGATAATAATGAAAATATCTGAAATAAATAGATTTTCAAGAAGAAAAAGCATAGACTGTGAGACATGGGTAGGATGTCATTGCTGCTCAGTCAGAAAAGATGCTACTACTGCTTCAGACTGGCCCAAATTCAATGCAAATGAATGATGGGGAAAAATCAGTTCCTAAGGCCATGTGAACACTCAGCAATGGAACCTCTGAAAACATCTTCAGCAGCCTAAAAATCTCTGCCTGAACTGCTCACAACTTCTGCTTTGCTCCTGCAGGACACCAGGATCAGGTGCTGGGATTCTCCTCCAAAAAATTATTGGTTTGCTGCTCTGAATGAAGGACAAATAAGCCTGACTTGGTGCACAGCCTTTCATTTGCAGCTTGGGATGAAGGTGTTGTGCACGTACCTCATCTCTAAAGGACACAGACGATGCTGCTGAGCTCACAGCCCCTCTCACCCAGAGGCCTCCCAGCCTGTCCAGTTAGGTGGTGCTGAGGAGACCAGGGTGTGCCCGAAGCTTTGCTGTGCCAGGGATCACACTCAGGGTCACTGCAATGTGTCTGTCTCTGCACACAGGCTGGGTAATGCCCAGGTGCCCACAGTTAGCAAGGCAGAGGGTGATCCAGGAACTCTGCTGTGTCCTTGCCTATGCACTGCAAAAGTCAAAGAGGGCAGAGATAAGGAAAAGGAAATCATCTCTAGTAGTAGCAGAGCAATTCTTACTCACTCCTATTTACCCTTCCTGAAAAAAAAAAACTGCTCCAAAACCCCCATTGTCTCCATTCCACTGAGTTTGGCTTTTCTTTTTTGACTTGGAACTGAGCCTCACCTTGTACCTCTACCTTCCTTTCACAGCAAGCTCAGCTGTACCACAGTGATGGCCAAAGGAGGAGCCATGTGTGGGAAAGACTTCTGGAGAGGACAGTGGGCAGCTCCTGCTCTAGGCTCAGCCTAGGAACCATGGAGCCAAGCTGCCATACACTTAGTGGAAATCACTGCATCTCCACAGCCCCAGCAGTTCTCTCCTCAGCAGCCCCCAAAATTCCACTGACGAAAAAAGAAATGGGGAGGGGAAAGAAGGAGTCAGAAAAACTATTGTTCCCAGGGAGGGAAAAAGATGAACAGCTCTATTTAGCTTATCCAGCTTTGCTGATGTCAATCACTTCTCTCATTTTAAACAGGAAAGACACCACTTTAGTCCACCTGTTCCATTATTTATCATGCTATGCGTTTCCCATGAATTGTCACTCATGCAAAACCTGTACATCGTAAGGGGACACCCTAATATTTTTAATGACCTTAAGCAAAGTGATTGACACTAGACACCGGTGTCAGATGTTCTGGTGACGCAACATGTTCTCCTAGCAGCAGGAAAGCTTCCTGCCGTGATTAAGTGAGGGCTATGGAAGTGCTAAAATGTGTTGTCAGCTTTCCTCTGATGCAAGTGATTTTATTATAGCGTCTGGTAACCATGGAGTGTGGCAACGCAAATACTGACCCCAAACATCCCCTCCTGCACATATAGCTCACTCTATTTAAAACACAAGGTGCAGCTTGCAAATCCAGGGATAAGTTATGGATGTAACAATCTTAAACCATGGAGGGCAGAGGAAATGGTGGCACCTAAGCCAGAATTCCTGGGTGGTTTCAGCAGAAGTATAGGGATCCAGGATGAGCTGCAGAAGGAACCCCTGCAGCACCTCTTTGGCAGTGGGCTCTGCAGCAGCACCACCAAAACTGCCCCGGCTGCCAGAGGCTCTGAGGGCAAAGAGAAGACACAGGCCTGTCTCACTTTGGTAGTAGAAAGCAAAAATTACACCCAGCCCTTTTGAGTCTGGAGAAAGAAAGGGGGAAAATAAAAGAGTAAAATAAAAAGAGGGCTCCATGCAGCCCCTCTGCCTTTTCATACACATTGGGGTGGAAACCTGTGACTTATCTCAGCACCACATGTCCTTCAAGAAGGAGAAATCATGTTCTGGTTTGCTTCAACTTGGGACAAGTCTCTCAATGATCCATTAACTGAGAAAAGCTGGAAGACCTCTACAACACAAAGTTACAGAATCAACATCTCAGCCACAAGCAGGGAACACCTGGCACCTGCTTTTCATGAAGATTTGTAATCCCAAAGCTCAGTCAGCAAACACTACACATAGCTTTGCTTCCACAAGTTATTATTAATAGTTATGTCTCAAACTGACTGTGACAGCGAGTGTCTGCAGAACTGTCTGCTATGATTTTTCAATAACAGAGTTGTTAATCAAGCTGCAGAGGGTTGGACTATCAAACCAAAGACCACAGGCTGCAGAGGTTTTTGTAAGAGATGTACATGTGTTCGCAGCTATTGTCACAGGGGTTGTGCTACAAAAATAGAAATATAAAGTAGCCAGAGTTGAAGATACAAGCTATCTTGATATCAATAAAGAAATATTTTCCAAAGGACAAACAGCACTGGATATTATTTTAATGAAATTTATTTTTTCATTTTATAGCAAAATAATCAAAAGTGCTAAACCCGACCACTTTAATTTACAAAAAAAGTCTCATGTTTTAAGCTATGATCATACCTTGTTATTTAGGTTAAACAACATAATGACACATTTCTACTGATTTCTATTCAATAGTGAAACAAAATCAATATTAGTTAGTTTAAAAAAGGGGGAAAGTACCACAAGTATTGGGAGGGGGAAGTTACATAAAATAAAATATAAAATCAGCTTATTGAGAAATTTGCAATGTGTTCTTATTGCTTTTTTTTTTTTTTTTTTTTTTTTTTTTTTTTTTAGCTACAGTTTAAGTCCCAGATACTCTGGCCATAAGCTTGTAGTCACTTCAAATGCTATGATTTCTCCCTTGGTCAAATGTCAGTGTTTTAAGGAGACCTCTGACATTTCAAGTCAATTGAAATTATTTTCTCAGTTCCCACACATTCCCTTTCCAACACGATCAGCATGTTGGAGAAGTTGGAGAACACACTTAGCATGGCTGCATTATGTGACACAGTTTTCTGTGAAGGAAAAATGGGTTTTCCTCTGTCTTGGAAAGAATCACTACCAAGTCTGCGGTAAGAAATATATTGAGAGCACTTGCAGAGTTGCTACAAGTATTTCTTAATCCATTCCATTTTCATTTCAGTTCGTTTCCACATTTAAATTAAAAACTGCAATCTCTCCTACTGATAAATAGCCAAGTTGACTTACAAAGGTTCTGCCTTCTGTCCAGCCTTCTCTTGGCTGCCTTTAACCGAACAAGGTTCGCTGGTTCGCCACGAGCGCTGTCTGGCTCTCCCGCCTCTTTGCTTTCTTCTTGTGCTGCCTGATCTTCCAGCACACGGCGCTGGAAGCCAGCAGAACGAGTCCCGAGGACAAGAGGACCAGCCCAAAGACAGAGATGATGGATCCATGGGAGTTGAAGATGTACGCCACGGCAGTGACCACGATGCCGGCTATCAGGATGACCACGCCGAAGGGAATGGTGCAGCGGTAGCAGGAGAGCTCTGCTCCCCCCGTGGCTGCCGTCAGCTGGCACTCACTGACCAGAGGAATGGTGGTTATCACACAGTCATTGTTGTTACTCTTCTCTGTGGGTGCAGAATCAGGGTGCTTTGGGGTGCCCAGGATCTCTTTGATAGGTTCGTTTGTCATCTTGATTGTCTTGACTTGGCCCGTTCTTAGGCTAGAGCAGGCTCTGCTGAGCTCGTGCTGCACTGTGGAGAGAAGAGCATGACTTCAACCAAAAATTACCAATTATTTATAGGACAGATGGGGACACAGAAGTATCCCCTTGGGATCACAAACCACCAGGTATTCAGACCCCACACGGATTTTTGCATAAGATCAACAGTGACACGACTGATTGTGAAGGATCTGAATCACTTCTTGTAGTCAACAATATGTATGTAAGTTCTGGAAATAACAGAGTCACAGACCAAGACAGAAACCAAAATTAAAGTGTTGTGGGCCAAATCCCACATCAACTTACATCCTAAAGTCAGTATTTCTGGACATAATTTAGATTTCAATGGCATTACATTTTCCCACAAAGAGGTGAAGTTCACACATTGTTTTGATTTTTGCTCACACACTTTTCACACAGTTACTTTATTCACCTACACACAATACATTACACAGATGTGCTCCACTGCACATCACAATAACACGGTCAAGTACTAGCCCAGCAAAAACCAGGATGAACAGTGAGTTCTTTCTCAGTGCAAGGTGTAGACGTGGGGGGAGTGAGGATGCAAACAGATTCCCACACTCGGCTCAGCTCAAGGCTGATGAACCTCCAGTTACAGCAATATCAATGCCAGACTGACAGCTTGCCATTTACACTGGCTTCATGCAAAAGCAACAGGTCTCTTGTAAATCCATGAAATTACATCCCTGCTACTGTGGGAGGTAGATTTACCATCATATTCACTCATCTCAGATACAGCAGGTTGTTTTCCTCCTGTTTCCAGACCGTAAACACACTGTCAGTCCAGACAGCACGCACGGTTTGACTGCATCTGCACAGGACACAAATACCTTTTGGCTCTGGGCCCAGGGAATAATCAGAGTCCACCTGCTCAGAGCAAGAGGAGCCCATAGGTCTCCACCATTCCAGAGCTCAGCCTTGTGTCCGGGGCTCTGGTGATGTGGGGTGACTCTGGGGCCTGCGGTGAGCTCTGCCAACACCGAGGCTGACACAGATGTGCTGTCCTGGACCCAGCTCAGTGCACCCCAACACACGCTCCAGAGACTGGGACACTGGGGAACCACTGGGGAACCACTGGGGAACCACTGGGGAACCACTGGGGAACCACTGGCTGTCCTGCTGTGAGCAGCTCCCAGGACTCCTCCACCACTCTGGTGTGGGCTGTGCCGCTTTTGCTCTCATGAGCAGCACGATATGCAGCTCAGAGAACAAGGAAGAGCGTTGGCAATGCAGTAATGCTTTTATCACTTTTATCACCTTCACATCTGTGACTAGGAAGTTAATTGCCAGATACTAGTATTCTCCTTTTCCTTTCCCACCACTCCACCCTTGTTGCTAAGATATATTCGCTCATTGTGGAGAGCCCTTGGTTTTATATCTCAGTACCTCCTATAACCGACTGTGAGTTTTACAAGAAATAGGATTTCACTCTTTTAAAAAAAAAACCACAGGCACAAACAGGCTAAATGTTGGACGAAGTCAGAGTGTTTGTACACAAAGTCCCCTTGAACCCTTAAGAGAGAAGAAAAGCCCAGATCTGGTTTGCCAAAGCTTTTGTTGTGCTGCTCTGGGGAAGGTGCTCAGCTCCCTGTTGTATTGCTGTGCAGAGCTGCCCGTGGGCTCAGCCCTGCCAGATGAGCCTGTCCCTGCCAAGCACACACAACACACCCCAGCACACACAGTGACAGCCCAAGAGGCAGCAGGCACACACTGAAACGCTCTGATCATCAGGAAAAACTTTTATACTGTGAGGGTAAGTGAGCACTGGAACCTAGTGAGGTTTTGGAGTCTACCCTTGAGATAATCCAGTGATCTGTACAGTCCTGGGCAACATTGCCTAGATGCTGAGCAATAGGAGGGTCAGAGCACATGACCTCCACAAGTGCCTTCTAACCATGACTATTCAATGATTCTGCCTGTTTCTGTGAGAGTATTCAGTATCTCCAAGGGCAGGAAAGGGATTTGTTCAGTGTTTATCAGACAAAGCAAATATATCTGTGCTGATACCTCAGATATCCTAAATTCTCCTAGGTTCAGTAGCTTTGTTCTTTGAATCATAATGCATGGTTAAATGCCTTTTAAATCAGACAGAAAGAGCCCAGGAAAGCCATGGGTTTGCTCTTGAGTGTCATTGATCTATTCCCATATGGATCTGAGCCCACATTCTGCATTTTCAATAATGATTGACATAGAAGAGACACATACACTGGTGCCATTATGTTGCTGCATTACTTATCCATAAAACGTTATAGATGTTCAGCATAACATAAGAATGTGGTCCCCAAATGTCACCTTTTTTTGATCTTATCATTCAATTAGTATAACATTTTATTAACAAATTTGAGGGAGAAAAAATTTAAATATTTTGCATATAAAAGGTCTATTGGCTCAAATACACTGTAATAAATATTCAAAAGTCCAAAGTACTCTAATAGTCACTGAAATAGGGAAAGTGCCAAATAACTTGAAAAAGCCAATAATAAGCATTATTATTCTGAAAAATTTTAACCTGTAATCAAAATGTATTTACTTCTCTCTCTAAAGTCCTTGTCCTTCTGCTTCAGCTACATCTTCAATAAGCATTAAATTCTCCTAGACCTCTTGTACGGAGATTTGTGAAGAAAGGAGATATATTTATACAGTCAAATCTAACAGGAATTAAAAGAATTCTAATCTATAATAATTAAGTCAATGGCAATCTGTTGATTTCTGAGGAGGACAGTTTTTTTTCTAGAATAGGATATAAGAAGGCAGGCATTCATATAAAACAAATAAACAACCCTCTACTGAAATGCTATTAAATTAAATAAACAACAGAACCTATCTGAAGTGTGAGCAAAGGTATCTAGCCCTAGAAAAAAGGGCACTGGATCCTCATTGCCAGCAAAGTCACTTCTGACTTAAGCCAACAGGTGATTTGGTTCAAGTTTCAGGGTAAGAAATTTAGGCAAAGATACCCAGCAACACCAGCATCCTCTCACTAATCATACCACAAGCACTATCTTAAGGAGCTGCTTTGAGTTGGAGGAAGAATGTGCTTCTGTGGCAATCTGTGGCTAACCCTGGGTAAAGGGGAGAGAAAAATTTTAGCCACTAATAAGGGTAAATTTAGATTTATCAAAAAGACATTAAATCCATCAGCATGCACACCTACCAGATCCAGGAGAAATCCATGGTAAAAGAGTGCTGAAGATGTCTTATATGGCAATTCAAGGCAGAAAGAGCTGCTCAAGTCTTTGAAGCATCAGATATTGCTGAATGATGAACTGGAGGTGACAATATTCTAGCATGGAAGTTTCCTACAAGAAAAGTTGTTGGATATTTATTAGCTTCTTAAGAATAAAAGTCATGAGTGTAAAGCTTCTGCCGTGGGCTGACTCCTGCTGCTAACCTAACCAAAGCAGGAGATGTTCTCCCTCCTGCTCTCCTAGTGGCTTCTGCCTCTTTTCTTGGAAGCAGCCACCCATTTCTGGCCCAATGCAACATTTTCCTTTGATGATGTGACATTCCAGTAGTGAGTATCACAACCCAGTCAATCCCCCCAGAAAGAGCCAGGCAGGAAAAGGCAATACACAAGAATAAATAGATAATAATAGATAAAAATCTTATTTAACCTAATTTCTATTGCTCACTTCACCTGTGTGAATAATGATTCAGAATACATGGGAGTTTGTCTCTTCTATGAGTCAAATTTCTTTGAGCAAATCACTTCATCTCCCTGCTCCTCAGATTTCCTAGCTGTGAACTGACTGTGACAACACACTTACCACTAAAAAAACCTGTTAGATCTCTCCCACTATATGAAAACCTAAGTAATATAATCCCAAAAACTCAGAATAAAAAAAGGGTAGACTTACACAGTCCAAGACCTCTCTGTAATAAAAGCAAGTCCACTATATTTACTATTGTTAATTTCTGTTGCTGGATTTTTAGAAACAAGATTGGTAACTCCAAGAGGGACAAGGCAGACGCTGCAGTGGGGCAGTGACAACTCTGCAGAAAGCAGAGTGATGGAAACTCTTATCAACTGCAGAAACAGCTGTGAAATCACCAGGCAGCTGGGTAAAACTCACGAAGCAGCAGATATATGTTGCTAATCTTATTTGACACCCTTTTAGAAGTGCATGATCATGGAAGATGATTTCAACATGGAAGCAGGAGTCCTAAGTGGGGATGAGAGTAAATTCGTGAGAGTAAGTTTGTATAATGATAAACTTTAAGGGTTTTTCTGTTTTTAAGTTATTTAGACCCTGCTAACATTTCACAAACAAACATTTACAGGCACAAACTGCTGCTGTTCTCCAGAAGATCCTTGGAATAAGCCTGTGACATTGCCAAAGTATATTTAGCTGATTACTGAAGTTAACTAATAATAAGGAAGCCTATTTGTTTATCTCATTGATTATATTCTTTTCCACAGGACCTAGCAATTAGTTTAATTTTCTGAAAAGTTTGGAGGGAAATGCAGAAAAAAAATCACAACTTCAGATAAATAATCTAAATTTCATTAAAACAAATGCAGACCTCTGAAATGTGCTTGCAGTCAACTTCTACTTGGATTACAGAAAGGTTACATTTGTTTGAAAGCTCTTCCCAGTGCAATTGTGCCCCCTAAGCCACTCTGTCAGCATCTTGCTTGAAAAAATTAATTGCTCATCAGTTATTTATTTCTATTTATCCCTGACTGCACACAGTTTAGATATTTTTATTTTAAATTAATGTCTTTATAAAAAATTCTGACAGAGCAACTTCTTAGAGATGGAATTTCTTCCCTTCTCCTTCCCCCTCTCACCACAAAACTGAGAAGCAGAAACACATGAGATCTTTACATGAATCTTCCAGTGTTCTAACTCGGAATCATTTCAATGTGGTGCTCTCTCAGGAGGCTTCCCACATATGGAGTATCTCTGTGCAAGGGCAAAGAGCCACTACAACCCTTTCCTCTTTTTCATATTTTACTTATAACCAGTGGGACACATTTGAGTTTTCCGCCTTCAAGCTCTGGACCAGATTCTCTATTTTACACAATACTTCAGGCACCCTTCTTTGCTTATTTAAAATCCTAATAAATCATAATGCTCACACTTCACACTATGGCTATGCATTAAAGTGACTACAGAAAATAGCCTAAGTAGTCCCTCTGTCCCGAGAGGAGAGCCTGAGTTCATTCAGAATTCAACAGACTACAGTAATCCTCAACACAATCCCGCAGCTCTGCCCCAGGTGAACACTCCTGGAAATACACAACCAGAATTTGTACTTACAATACTCCAGGACCATGCCCTGAGCTACAGAGGCAGCAGAACACATTGTCTTCAAACCAGCTGCCTCAGGATGCAGTAAGTTTTTCTCACCAAGTTCTCAAGTAAAATCTTGAACAGATTTAAACTCTCGCACCTTTTTCGTTTTCCCGACATAGCCGGGGTGTAGGATGGGAGCCAACCCAACCCCTCCACAAACCAACTCTGTTATGTGCCAGCTGCAAAACTTTCAAACGCGCCTGCTGCACGCCACGCACACACCTGGGCTAAAATCCTCCGTGTCACGCCTGTCCCCGAGCGCCTCTGCAAGAGAGCGGAGAGGCGAGCAGGCGGGGAAAGCCTTGTGCACGTACAGCCCTGCGGCACCGGGGAGGCAGCGCTCCGTGGGACACCGACCTGCACCGGGAGCGGCTCCGGCCGAGCCCCCGGCCGCTGTAAGCGGGGAGAGCCCTGTGCCGGAGCGGAGCCCCCGCAGCCGCGGCCGCCCCGGGAGCCGGGCACGGGAGCCGGAGCACGGCGGGCACCGGGAGCCGGGAGCCGGGCACGGGAGCCGGAGCCCCGAGGGCACGGGAGCCGGGCACCGGGAGCCGGAGCCAGGAGCCGGAGCACGGAGGGCACCGGGAGCCGGAGCCCCGAGGGCACGGGAGCCGGGCACTGGGAGCCGGAGCCCCGCGGACACCGGGAGCCGGGCACGGGAGCCGGAGCCCCACGGACGCCGGGAGCCGGAGCACCGCAGGCACCGGGAGCCGGGCATGGGAGCTGGAGCCCCGCGGACACCGGGAGCCGGGCACGGGAGCCGGAGCACCGCAGGCACCGGGAGCCGGCGGGGGCGCGGCCGCGGGGCGTGCGGCTCCGGGGCTGCCAGCGAGCTGAGCCGTGCCAGTCCATGCCACAGGCTGGGCCAGTGTGCCATAGCATGGGCTAGTGAGCCATAGCGAGCCGTGCCTAGCGAAGCCGAGCCGTGCCTTACCTCCCGGCCGCCGGGCGGGACTGCGGCGGCCACCAGCCCGCAGCCAGCATAAGAGGGGATGCAGCTCGCCCGCACAAGGGACTGTAAACAAAGTTCTCGATGAGAGCGAAACAATTAAGGGACCGGAGCAAATTCAGCGGCGGGAGCTGCGGCGGGCGGGGCGGCGGCGGGCCGGTCCCGCGGGGCGGGCGGGCCGGGAGGGTGTCCGGCAGCGCCGGGCTGGGCCGGCCGGGGGCCGGGCCTCTCCCTCCGCCCCGCGCCGCTCACAGCCCGGCACAGGGATGCGCACGGCCGGGACAGCGCCAGGGGAGGCTCCGCACCGCGCCCTGCCCGCGGCAGGTCACACACACGGGGCCTGCAGCCCCTCTGCCACCTTCCAGCCCCCTCTGCCACCTTCCAGCCCCCTCTGCCACCTTCCAGCCCCCTCTGCCATCCTTCACTCCCCTCTGCCATCCTTCACTCCCCTCTGCCATCCTTCACTCCCCTCCTGCCCTCCCGCAGCCCCTCTGCCATCCTTCACTCCCCTCTGCCCTCCCGCAGCCCCTTCCTCTCTCCAGCCCCCTCTGCCCTCCTGCGCTCCCAGCCCCGTGCCGGGTGCTCGGCCACATCCCGGCTGCAGCAGTGTGGGTGAGGGTCAGTACCTGTCCTGAGCTCGCTCGATGGCCCTGATGGGTCACTTGAAAGCACAGGCGCTGCTGAAATCCAGATGAACCCCTAGCTCAACTGCTCAGGAACTAAAGGAGGAGGAATATGGCTTTGGATGGCATTCTTAAAGGATAAAGTTTTTTACATCATTTACAAATATTTTAACTGGCTTTTCTAATCTTTAATTACTCATTTCTGCAGCACATCAAATACTACAGGGGTTTGGGGAGGATGGGTGTGGGTGTATGTTAATTTTTTACCATGATTTCTGTTACTTCAGACAAAAAGCAGACAAATTATGCTTTTAAGTCTTGTAAAAGGACATACTTGAATTTTGCAGTTAAGCTCAACCAAAGTTTATATTTAAAAGACACTATTTTATCAATGATTGATAAAAGAACAGTGCACCAGATGTATTTAATCAGCCACTCTGTCTCTGAAGGCATGCATGTACTTTTGACTCCCAGGGTGAAATCCTGGCCTCACAGAAATTAATGGTAAAACTTCCATCAACTTCACAGTGGCCAGGATTTCATCCTATGTGTTGTTAAGAACTGCCCAGTGATGGAGACCCTGCCAAGGGTTCATCTCCTCCAGACAAATCAACCAGGTTCTGGAAAAGCTCCACAGCTTTATGCAAGGAACTGTCAGTTTTCCCCCCTACTTGCTGGTGCTCCCATCAAATACACCAGCATATGAGCAGAAATTAAAAACAAACTGGATCTGAGGGGAACTCCATCAGGCAGGATCTCCTGCTCCATTGTCTGGTCCTTCCCAATGCAGGCAGCCATGTCTGTGATATATTTATTAGACTTGAAAAGCTCCACCTCAAAACCAGCCAGGTTTCCCTCTCCTCCTGTTGGAGACTACAAGCCTTATTCTTTTTGATATATAGGACCCTTGTTTTCAGCTGAATGGGTTAATAGACAATTATACAAGGACAAGTAAACATCTGGCTGAAGGAGCTACTCTCTCTTTTAGAGAGAGTAATTAACCCTCTAATGCCCTAAGAAGGTGAAATTAAACTCTTGGGCTTGTTTTCAATCATTTTTTGAGATGTCTTACCAACTTCTTCCATGGAAGTGCAAGTATTTTCCTGGCCTACTAGAAATACTAACAATTCATAATTTTCTTCTGATTTTTCAGGATGTCTGTTTTTTTCTCCAGTATCAGTTTCATTTTTCACTTTATATCAGAAATTCTTGCTGTTTGCACATGTGTGCATGACCTAAATTTCACCCCATTCCTGTTGCATCAGTTCCTCTCTAGTCCTTCCAGTCTACTATTTGGTCCTCCTGTGTTGACAGAGAACCTCCCTCTCTGGCTTACACCATCTGCAGCTCCACTAGTACATTCTTATTTTTTCATGCCAACTTCATTACTGAAAGTATTACATAAAATATGGAAAGTTTTACATAAGATATCTCATGAAACTGATTTTTAGGAGCTATTCTAATACACATAAACAAGCACTGAAGCTGGGCTTAGAATTCATGTTTCTGTACAAATAAATGCCCTAACAACAGGCAAAAAAAAAAAATCACACACTCTGCTAGACCTCATGCAATTCTTATTTCTTGCTGTGAAGCATAAAAGCTGCAATAAAAAGTGATGGGAATGAGGTCCCCTCTAGTGCTGAGAGATTGGTTTGCCCTCCCCAGAAGGATGGGTTTGTAGCACTGAAGGGTTTAGAACAACTTGGGCACAAGCCCTCTGGCCTTTTAAAAAAAGGGATGACTGACTACCTCTGTCTTTTAAGGTCCTGCTGTGTTCTGAGCACGGCTCTCCAAGGAGGTGAGGAAAGAAGGACCAGACACACCCGGAGCAGCGTGTTCGGCACCTGTAGAAATTCAGTGCAAACCGCTGAGGAAACTGCAGGGCTGAGCAACAGCTGCAGTGAGGGGTTACAGGTTCACAGTTTTGGACTGCCAGGCTTCAGTGATACATAGCTCCCCTTTAGGACCTGCCCTAAATGACAAAATCTCCTCCCAGGGGCCTAAACACAGCTGCTTAGAGGGAAGTGCAGCCCCGAAGCCGGGCTGATAAGCAAGGAGCGTGTGTGACTCTGGAACTCATGGCGCCTACTGAGAGAGCAGCTTTGCTCCTAAATTGAGCAATGCTGTTGCTCTGCTGACTGAAACACACTTGCAATACTTCATAGCTTCCTCTGAGTTTCTAACAGTCTCCTGGGCCTTAACAGCACAGCAAACAGTGACTCACTAATCTGGCAGAGTACAACCATTGTAGGCTCCCTATTCACTTCGTTTTTCTTACCTTTTCCCTAACCCACCACTGAATTTTCCTTTTATTTTATCCCCAATCTCACACACGGACACATCAGTTTACTGCATTTTGTGAAACTTTCAGAAAGTGCCCTTTAAATGTGTTCTATATATTATAAATTGTCCTTACCATGCATTGCAGTGTATGTGTTTTGTGATGAGGAATGGAGTCCAAAAGGAGCCCAAAGCGAGTTAAGCCAGAGACGCAAATAATTTCACACAAAATGCTATAGCTCCCCTCTCATTAACACAGTTTACTGCCCAGCTGGTTGATAGCTGTGCAAACCAGCCACTCTGTGGGTAATCAGGCTCATGAAATGGATGTGCTTATAACGACTGTGAGAAACCTCTTTGGTGGCTGGGAATATGGAAAGGAATTTTCTTTGAACTCCATTAGGTCCTACTTGTGCTTTGGTCAACATCAGTTATCCTGCTGTGCATGTGAACTTTGTTATTGCCTTGCTTGACTTTCACTTAATCTTCCTGCAGTGCTGAAGAAGACAGGATATCTGGAACTGAAAACAATTATTCTTATCTCCTACTGCTTTCATAATTACATGAAGTTCCCATTTGAAGAGCTGCATTCCTTGTGTGGACATGTGCTTTTAATTAGCAGAGGGATGCATCACACCACCAGAAGCCAATTCCTCAACCTTGCATAAGTTGGTTACAGAATCTCTGAATCTTTGGCCACCGTGGCAGCTTTCTGGCCAAGCTGGGGGAAGCGTGGGAGCAAACTCCAGGCACTGTAATTTCACCATAACCAGGATTTTTATTAGAGACTATTGCAGTAGCATGCAGCAGATTCAGCTGAGATTTAAGTTCAAAATAGGAATGGTCTCTTTTCTTGGTTTTCCACTTGCACTGAGTCACTCAAATTTTCAGGGCTCAAAGATATGAAGGGAAATGCAGACAAAAAGATGAAAAAGTGACTAGTCCAAGTTAGTGGATAGTGTCAAGAGACATTTTCATTTCATTTGCTTCCTTTCTCAGTAAATAGGGTATAAAGAGCATACACTGTTCCCTCTGCAAATGGTCTGTCTAATAAACATGGAGTGTTTCAGCCAGCTGTTATTGACTCGCCAACAGCAGAAAGAAAGTTACGAGTTCTAAACTAAGCTATAGAAGCCACTGGCTGAATTACTTCCTGTCTGATGAGTCTTTCTGTGTCCTGCTCCACTGCAATCCTTAGGACTAAATTGATACACAAGATCTATCTAAAATACTGCACAAAGTTAAAATCCACAGCTTTTCTCCTACATAATAGATGACTTCTATGAAATTTACAGTAAGTCAAGTGTCTGACCTAAAGGGTAGTATAAAAAGGAAAAAAAAAAAAAAGAATCATTGCAGTATGACCAGTTCTTACTGTTCCCACAAAAGAGAGCTTTTCATATATATCATCTGCTTTGAATTCATCAAAATCCCACATCTTTAGTTCATCATCAAGAATTTTTCAAAGTGCACCAGTGCCACACAGAGACAGATAGAGGAAAACACAATATAGCTGGGAACATTCTCCCACATATGGATGCCTATATCCAAAACAAACACTGGGGCCTGAAAACATCACTGTGGTATTCATTGGTGGTTTCACTTCTGGCCACATATGATTTTCTGATGTAGGAGCTGTCCAGTTTCCTGGTTTTGTTCTATGCCACAGAATTCACTGGATTGCCCACCACTGATTGCAGTAACAGAAAGGTTAGGTGTTAGTGGGGAACTCATACAGATTTATTTCCATTCTAAAAAACAGGTGAAAGATTTAGATACATTCATGCCACTGATAGCCCAAATCAGCAAGTTGCCTTGAGGTATATTTCCCACTCAGAGCAGCAGCAGCTAGATAGAATCATAAAATCACAGAATGGTTTGGATTGGAAGGATCCTTAAAGATCATCCCATCTCATTCAAACACTCTGCCATGGGCAGGGACAGCTTCTACTAGACCAGGTGCTAAAAGCCCAGTCCAACCTGTCCTGAAACACGACCAGGGATAAAAAGCTAAACCTTCCCATGAAAATCAGGTATGCTAACTACTACACTATAGGTAACTAACCTGAAGCCTGAGATCCACCAGGTATGTAGGTCAAGTTATGGGCACTTTTGAAACTCCCCCTGATTGCCCCCAAGTATTTTCACTTAAATGGTATTTGGGTCCCTGTTCCATGTGTGGGACTGGATTTTGCTGTATCCAGGCTGCCTTTGGGTTCATGCTCCCAGACCCAGCTGGCCTAGCACAGTTGCTGTCCCACAGTGTTGGGGAAGAGCAGTAGAAAATCAGTCCTAAACTCATCCCAGCCTACAGTCACTACCCAGCTGAGAAGATTCTAAAGGACTTGGGTTCAAACTCCTATCCCTAAGCTAAGGGTAATACATGGACATACAAGTGATAAATAATAACAATTACGTAAACATACATGAAAACAGAAAATAAACTCTGAGAACAGCTTGTGCTTTCTTAGTAATCACCACTCCTTATTTACCAAGAAAAAAAGGTCACATAGTAATGCCTTTTTTGAAAGCTTTTGTCCCTAGAGTAGCCTTGTGAGATAAATCTCTTTTTCCATGAAAGTGCTGGGGAAACAGGGAGTGGTCAGGCAGCTGAAGCCAACTTACTGATGCCATGTAGACAACCACATACTGCAAAACATTGACCCTAAAATAATAGGTAATATGGAGCTGTGATCACTTCAGTCCTTTTGCACAAACAGGGAGATCATGTAATCTCACAGGCACGTGCCCTTGCTGCATGTTAAAGATCAGTTCTTGACTCACAACTCCTCCTTTTTCATACTAGGTCAAATTCACCTCTGTGCAAACAAGAGCCACAAGCTCTTTCAGTTTCACTGAGCCCTGTTTCAGAGAAAGAATGGGACTTAAAAGTGAGACAGCAATCTGATAAAAGCTTTGCTAAAGTAAAGAAATATTTCGGCAAGAAAAACTAAATTAGTCTCACCTTCAGGCCATTGCCTCATATTCCATTTTAAAGACCAGCTCCTCAGCTGGGTGGGCAGCAGAGCTTCACTCAAGGCAACTTAGCCAAGAAATTACTCATAAGGGATCAGCCATAAGAAATGTATTGCCTTGATATTTGGAGAACCAGCTGGCTCACTGAGAGCATGCCACTTAATGTTTAAAGAAAGAACAAAAATAAGCCAAAATATTTATATCTATTATGTAAATATTATTAATAATAATACACATAAGATTACTACCAAAAAATTAAAGAACTGAAATGTTTGCCTAACAGTCTCAGTGGGGAGGTGAGAGCAGGTGAGATATGAGCAGATATTTATTATCATTACTGACATTATTTTATAAAGATGGTACAGGTCAAGTTCTGCCATCAAATTTACATAGTGGGAGGAAGTTTGTGAGATCCAATTTTGCCTTCTGCCAAAATTCTCTCTCCAAAAGTTTTCTGGACTGTGCAAGGATGAGGATCAGCCTGTATGTCCAAACCAGTCAGCCAGAAATCCTCATGCTCTGCTTGCAAACCAATTGACTGGAACTGGAAAGGACAGCTGACATAAGTGAACTCTTTGTCAAAGAGCTCAGTCACTTGGCAGGGGAGCTAGAAACACTACATTATTCCAGCCTTGCACAGAGGTTACCACCAAATACATTGGGTGGTGCTGCCAGTCAGTAGGTTTGATGACGTCCCACTGCTCAGAGCTGCTTATTTTGTTCTGAACACACAGTGTTCAGCAGGAAAATCTCACAGGAATTAGAAGAATAAAGCTGTAACGAAAACAGATTTGCAGCTCCTGGGAGAAAACCTGCCGCAGCCACATTTTGAAGGCTTTAATGCTTGGCTGAGTGTGATAGGTGGTGTCACTGCAGGGGCCAAGCAAGATGCAAAATGTGTCCCTGCCAGTGGATTCCTCCTGCCTGGGAGCTCATCCCAGTGGAAGTTTTCTGTCGCCTTCCATCCTGTGCAGCCCAGCGCAGCCCAGTCTGCCACGGGCCAGAGCCTGCTGCCCCTCCTGTGCCAGGCTGCCTGGGCCGCGCTGCGGTGCCAGGGCCACGCTCACCTGCCCGGCAGCTGTACAGCAGTTCTGGCTTCTTTATACAACCCTCTCATATGTACGGCCCGTGAGGAAAACTGCCTGTCAAAATGTGAAGACATACCAAAATACACGTGACGATAGTGTTCAATCTGTGTCTTTGGGGAGCATCCCAAAGGGAAGGCCCTGACCATCACACCCACGGGCCCGTCCCCGCTCTGGCACCAGGCTCGTGTCACACACACTCAAAGGCACGACCACCGAGACCCCGGCTAACCCGAGTGCGCACGGAGCGCACCTGCAGGGCAGGGATGCCCCGTGAACCTGCCGTGACCCCCGAGCCCGCTCCCCCGGCCCCGCAGCCTCGGCGGGGCCCGGCCCCGGGGCGGAGCGGGGCGGGCCGAGCGGGGACAGTACCCGGCCGGAGCTTGAGCCCGCCCGGCCGCCGCCGGCGATGGCGGGGCCGCCGGAGGTGGAGGGAGCGGTGGGGATGGCGGCGCCGCCGGAGGTGGAGGGAGCGGTGGGGATGGCGGCGCCGCCGGAGGTGGAGGAGCCTTTATCGCGGGGCTTCTCGGAGGAGCAGTTTGGGGCCGCCTGCCGGGAGCTGGACCAGCCGGCGCCGGCCGCGGCGGGGCCCTGGCAGCTCCTGGTGGAGACCATGGGCGTGCGGATCTACCGGCTGTACCACGAGGTGGGCGGGCTCCGGCTGCGCCGCCCGGGGCGGCCGGGGGGCGGTGGTGACGGGGGGCGGTGTGTGACCAGGATGAGGGGGGCGGTGGGTGACCGGTATGGGGGTGGTGTGTGACCGGCATGAGGGGGGCGGTGGTGACGGGGGACGGTGTGTGACAGGGATGGGGCCGGTGGATGACGGGGATGGGGCCGGTGGATGACGGGGATGGGGCCGGTGGATGACGGGGATGAGGGCTGTGGTGAGTGGGATGCGGGGTCCGGTGGATGACGGGGATGCGGGGCCCACACGACCCCGCCCGCAGCCGCGGGTTCCCCGCACAGGCCTGGGCTCGGTTTCCTCAGGCTCGCAGAAAGCAGCTTTCCGGGTAATGCCATTAAGTGCTGATGGGAAAGCTGCTGGGCCGCAGTGACCCCGCGGAACCGAGCTTGTGAGCAGCTGGATGGGGAATTGCCGGGTGTTCGATGTGCCACCCTCCCGAGCCCCCTCGGAGGGGGTTTGTGGTCAGGGTGTCCCTAACATCTGTCCCAAAACATCTGCTGCCCGTGTCAGAGCATCCTCTCTCCAGGAGCCCTCGCCACTTCCTGCCTGTCTCCAGAACTCGCTTCATTGATTTTCCACCCTTTGCCCTCTAAAATCGGGAGGTAGTTCAGAAAGGGTTGGAATTAAATTCTTCCCTTTTCGGGTGACTAGGTTCTTTAAAGAACTTCCGTAGTTTAGGAACTGACGTGTGATTGACAGTGTTTCCATTTTGACACAGATTGATTATTCAATACTGACTTCTAAATCCATATATAAATACCCTGTTTTTTTAACTGAGTGATCATAGTTTCCTCTCAGCTCCTTCTGGACTTCATGCTGTTCTTTGCATGACAATTTTGTATTTGTATTCTGAGAAGTCATTTCAGACATGGTGATGTTGGAAAAAACCAGCAAGCATAGAGGGCTGTGCTAAAGCCACAATGGGGTGGGGAAGGACTCTTTAAAGAACCATCACTTCACAGACCTTGGAATTTTCTTTAGTGAGAAATAGTCCCTGTTTCCAATGTGGATGTGGTGACTGGCAATGGCAAGATGAGCTCATCAGTGGGTGCACACAGCCTGGGTGAGGCTGGGGTGCCTGCCAGGTGTCCATGCGAGAATCAGTGAGTTGATGGAGTTCAGGGTGCTGGGGGTGTTCCTGCTGGAGTGGATGAAATAGAGGCTTTAGGATCAGAGCTCAACCCAGACCTGTAAATGCATTATGCAGTGCATGAAGACAAAGGAACTTTGGGAAGCTGGAGGCTGGATTTAGCCAGGCACATGGGACCAGGGAAGCCCTGGTTTACTGCAGTGGCTGTGCTGCTGTTGTATGAACAAAGCTGGTGAGATGGAAAGTATCTCAGGCTTCTCTTCCTCATCCTCTTGTGCTTTTATACAGAAGGACTGTAGAGCTAAAGAACTATTTGAAACAAAAAAATACTATTTACAGGTGTCTGTCATTTTTAATGTAGTGTGCAATGCCCCTAGATTGGGCTGGATGAACAGACTACATAGGATGCAAGGGACCTTTTCAAGTCCAATCTTATGACTCTTCTGGGAAATAAATCTCCTGTTTTATCTTTCAGTTGCTTCAGATTGCTGCAAGAGAAGATGAAGTCTAGAAGTAGGGTGTTTGCTTAAAGTTGTTACTGGAAAAATTAGCTTTTGGCACTTACTGAACTGCAGCTCCCCTGTAGCAACAGTAGTCCAGGAAGCTGAAAGCAGCAATTATTCTTCCTGTTGCCTTCTCTTTTTGCCTTGCCTTTCCACCTTCTCTGCAGGCTGCAGAAATAGATCTGGGCCTTCCTGTTCAGTGCTGCTTTCCAGCCAAGCTGATTGATTCTCCTGATGACACACCTCAGAAAAACAAACATGTCACTCTTATTTTTAACTTTCTTACTGTAAAATGCTGTTTTTCTCGTGAGAATAAAAATGTTGATGCCTCTTAGAAAGATGATGAGTGCATGGGGTTACACAGATGCTGAATAGTTCAAGTTTGAAGCTAGTGATTGGTCCTTCAGTGAAGCCAAAATGAAGATGAGTAGCTTAAGCTTCTTGCTCACATTACTGTTTTCTGGTACTTCAAATCCTCATCTTCTGGAGTTGATTTGTGAAGATGAGGAAAAGAAAATTCATCTATTCACTAACAAAACGTTGTATAATCCTTCTTTTCTTTTCCTTGGAAATGCTTTGATTTGATTTCTACACTGTAAATATTAAATACTGCCATTGTTTTAATTCAGTCCTGAACTGTCATTGTTTTAATGTAGTCCTGAACTCTTACTAACAATGGTACAAACTTTGCTCTGTAGGCACAGGATTACCATATGTTGAAAGTAACATTAAAACAGGAGATATCCTGCACCCCACGCCTTCAGTGCATACAGCTTTCTGAAAGAAAATAGCTGGTAAATATTCAAGGCCGATGTGAGTGCACTCGTGTAAGCGTGGACATTGTAAAGCATTCTTGTATCCCAGCCTGATGTGTAAGCAAAACTAACTTGCCACAAGAATTGAATGCTTCTGGTAAACCTCAGTGTGGGCAGGACTTAGTCCACGCTGACCACTGGAGATGAAAAGGGGACTGTGTTTGTGAAGAAACGTGCTCCCTCTGGAGCTCCTGGTGAAGTAAAAGGGTACTGGTGTAAGGGAAGGAACAGCCATTGTGCAGGGCAGGTCAGCCTGGCTGCATTTACACTTTCATGTATAGATCAAAAAGTTGAGAGGTTAAAGACTGAATCTTATATTGTTTTCTGAGCACTTGCTTTCACAGCTCTTGAGCATATTTGTAATTTGTGCCCCACCTAACTTCCTTCAGCTGTTCTCCCTGATGCAGAGTGCTTCCCTTTCCTGTGTGACTTTTCCTCTCTTCATTCTGTTTCCACAGCAATCAGGACTTTATGAATATAAAATCTTTGGTGGTCTTGCTGACGTTCCCCCAAAATTGTGTGCAGATGTCTACATGGACTTGGATTTCAGAAAACAGTGGGATCAGTATGTTAAAGGTAAGCTCATCTGGGCAGTGTAAAAGCAAGCTGGAGTCCACATTGATTGTTCCCACTAAAACTTCCCTCAAAGGTATTTTGAAGTTACTGCCTCCAAAGACTTTGGGTCAGACTTAAATATCTTTTGGGATAAGGTTGCACTGTGCAAATACACAAGTAAACACTGTTAGGGAATCTCTAATGTCTCAACAGTATTTATCTTTCCTCTGGAATGAATTCTTTCCATGTTGCTTAAAGCATATGATTGACATCACTGGTTATGCTGGAGCACCTTGTAACTTCTAGCTGTAATGCTAAGGTTAAATTTTAGTAGATGTCTTGGGGGTGGTACCTTTTGTGCATCTTTGGGGGTGGTACCTTTGTGCATCTTTGCATATGGCACTGGAGCAGTGCATCATGGAATAGCAGGTTGGAAGGGACTTCTGGTATCATCTGGTCCAAACTTCCTTGGTGAGAGCACAGTCAAGACAAGATGGCACAACACCCTGCTCAGCTGAGTCTTAAAATTTGTCGGGGAGATTATTTCAAAGGCTAATCTCATGGTGAAATTTTTTCCTCAGGCTTCCACCTGTTCGATGCACGATGGAATATCTTTTCCTGAAAGCATGGGTTGTTCTTGGCACCTTTTACAGTCAGGAATGGGTGCATTGAGTGAATGCGTGGTAACTTCAGGCTTTTACAGAGAAAGTAATAACTAATTTAGATAAGTTTATTTAATGTTGTTTTTGAAAAAGAGTGTTAAACCTGGATATCCATATGGTGTTAAAACATCTTAAGTCAGCAGTAACAAGGTAAAGGTTCAGCTGATGTATATATCTAGTAATCCATTTGTTTTAAAGATGGGGAACCTTTTCTTTTTGAGCCTGTGCTTGAAGTCAGAGCAGGCCAGTAAAACTGAAAAGTGGCCTAAGTGTTTCGCTGAACAAAGAGCAGTGTTAAAAACCAAAGACTTCTTAAATGCTGTTCTTGTTAGGTTTAGGACAGCTCCACCGTGAATAATTGCTGATAATGCCAGTGGCTGCATTGATACAATGACCTGTAAATTAAACTCATGTGAGTCTTGGTCAAATTTAAGGAAAAGTGTCTTCATTAAGAAGTGTTAATTGTCAGAATGCTCAGTAGCTTTCTTGTAGCAAAAGCCATTTTGCCATTAATGAAACAAAGAGTCAGAGCGGGGACTCAGCATTATCGTATTGGATGTAAAAATACTCTCTTGAGTTACTTCAGTAGTCTTTAAGTGCATTTAGGAGAAATGAATGCTTCTTAAATAAACACTTTTTTTTTTTTAAATTCCTTCATAGAGAAGAGAAAGGAAGCTGCTGGGGGAAGCTACACCCTTAAACTAAAAGCTAGATAATGTTGTAGAGCTGACATTTATATCCTTGCTGACCATGGTTTATTCATCTGTTAATTTATACTTGTGCTGGTGCTTTAAGTCCAGCATTTCACAGAAATTAACTCTTAGAGGGCATAAATATAACGTAATGCTTTCCTTCCTACTTAAAAATTGATGCAAGCCCACTTGTTTTTTGGGATGATATGTATCATGAAAGTGCTAGCCAGTGTTTTAAATGTAACCCCAGTTCAACCTGGGTTTTTTCTTTCACACTGGGGAAGAAACCCCAGAAAACTTCCATTGAGAGCCTTCTTGCTCTTGGTGTTACTGTTTTTATCCCTTGGTGCTCTTACAGCCGTGCAAGTGGCAGTCCAAAGGAGAATTCTCTGCTGAACTGCGGGCTGGCATTGAAATAAAAACCTGACCAGAGAAGAAGTAGCTGCCTTTTTAGCTGAAAAAGCAACTGCTTCTGCACGCTTCCGAGTATGCACAAGATGTGGACATCCTGAGGCCTGCTTTGTGCTGCAGCTGCCAGTTCAGCAGGGAAGTTGTGACTGAGCTGTAGTGACTGAGGTACCACGTGCTTCTGTGGCATGGTGCAAAATGGCTGGGCCTGAGCAATACTGAAACTTGCTAGTCCTGATTGCAGCACCTTCCTCACTGAGATCAGACTTCCCAACAATTTCACAGTAATGACTGGCTGTTGAAGCAGTAAGTGCTGCTATGCCTCTTATGGATAGAATGGACTTGTGATCTCTTGTAGTGATGCTAAATGAAATAAGATTATTATTAAAATGCCCTGTATTCTGGTTTGAAGTGAATGCAGGTGGGATGTGGTTTATGTATTTTGTGTTTTTGCTGTGTTTGCAAAGATACACAGGTAAATGAGGTAGCTAATAACAGTTGTATTGGGGTCTTTAAAACAATGTCATGGTGCCTTTGTAAAAGGAAATCTCTGTGGTTAGGAGTGAAAGTTAAGTGACTAATCCAATGCTCCAGTGACCTCTGGTGGAAAACATAAATGTTGTGGGTTATTACAACACCAGGTGCATCCAGTACTGCTCCAGCTGGAGAAGAGGAGCTGTTTCCATGGGTGACAGCTGATCTGCAGGGCATGCCAACAGAAGCCTGGTTTGGAATATATTATACAGGGAAAGAATCTCCCATCTGGGGCACTGTTCTTGTCTTGTCAGTGAGACTATCAGTTTATTCTGGCCTCACTTTCAAAAACCTGGCTCTGGGGGATATAGAGCACCTCAGGCACATGTCTGTTGTAAAGGAAGAGAAGATCACTGTGACTGTTAAGGTGAGCCACCTTTGTGGATCACACTGTTCCTTACTCCAGACCCTGAGCCAGCAGGAGTTCACCCTGGCTCTGCCCCGTGGCTCGTCAGGTCCATTGCCCTCTTAGTGGCAGTTGCTGCCCCAGGGAAGGAAGCTGCACTGTAGGCAGGTTTTCAAACTCGATTATGTGGTTTGATTAGAACTGATTTTTCTCCTTCATGCCAGACTACTCTCCAACTGAGTCACTGCCATGTTTTAGGCACTATTCTTAGGTTACTTTTTTTTCATATTCTGTTGCCTTCTGATTTGAGTTTCCAGGCAGACTGAGGGTGGTGTAATGAAGACTCATAAACTGCTCAAGGTTCTAGTTAGCTGTTGCATGTATATACTGCTGTGAAATTCCTGACAGCTTTTCCAAAATTCATTAATCCCTCATGTAAGATGTCTTCAGGTGTTAGAAAGCTGCACTCATCCTAGTTCCATGTTAATTCAGTATAATTTACAAGGGTAATGACATGCCTGTGAAAAAGCACATTGTACTCATGACTTAGACTTGTGCAGAACATGCACAGGTAAGGAAGAAGCTTTGAGATGGAAAGGCTTTGAATGAGCAAACTGTTGGAAAATGAATTTAACTCTGTTTCCCCCATAATTGTTCTGATTTTATGTTCTGGGGTTTTAAAATTTTTTTTCTGTTTTTTTTTTTTTTTCCCACCAATTAATCCAATAGCCACAGAAAAACAGGCCACCTATTTTTGTGTATTTGATTCCTGAACAATCCTGGTACAGAACTTCTTAATGTCCCTTACTGGTAAAATTCTACCTACATACCAATTTTGACATCAGGGTTGCATGTAAAATTTGTTCCTGTCCGAAATCTGAGCAGTTCTTGATACCGTCTATATTTCTGTTGCAGTAGAAATTAAAAATACCTAACAGTTTTCTTCTTTCAACCATAGAACTGTATGAGGAAACATATGATGGTGAAAAAGTAATCTACTGGGAAGTGAAGTACCCTTTTCCTCTCTCAAACAGAGATGTATCCTTTCAAGTTTTTGTTCCTCTTGCAGTTTTTGCCACTTGGTCATCCAGGAATCCCAGCAATGAACTGATTCCATCACTCTGCTGCACTGATGTAAGATCTTGCAGTACTTGTGCTACAGGAATATGTATGGCATGAAGAGGAGTGTGGGTGCCTCTTCCCACACAGAGCTAGAGCTCCCATAGCTGAATTACTGCTCTGCAGGATTCAAATCTGTAGGGACATGAGAAAGAACTTGAAGGAGGGGCTATTTGTGATGGAATTCACTTGTCAGCTCCTCATCCCTCAAACTGACATTGTTTTGACATGCCTCCTCAACTTGCAGTGCAGTATGTGTATATCCGGGAATGCCGGGAGATGGATGTGCATGGGAGGAAGATCTGGGTTGTGTTAGCAAAAAGTGTGGCTGTTCCTCAGTGCCCTGAGAAGCCTGGTATCATCAGAGTTAAGAGCTATAAACAAAGCCTGGTAATTGAAAGTGATGGCAAGGCTGGATGTAAAGGTAAGAGGTCAAGAAAATGTGTGACAGGTTGTGTAGCCAGGGAGTGTATATATTAGCAAAACACACAAAGAGGGGGGCTGGAAATTTTAAGCCAAGGGTTACTTTAAAATGAATGAAACCTTTGGAAATGTCCTGTGCAGTGCACTACTGAGAAGAATCTTTTTATTTAGCAGTTGGGCTGAGTGGTTAAGAATAGTCTACTGCCCACTTCCTTCTGCCCTCCCATCTCACCCCCACTCTGTACTTCTTTTCCTGCCAGACAGTTCAGCTGGGGAGACTCTGCTGCAATTTTCTTAACTCAGCAATGATTCAAGTATTGTGTTTGACAGATGTATAGATTAAAGGGTTTGCCCAGAGCTTGACTTCTGTCGCAGGTTAGTCTTTTAAAGACAGTCTTATTTTGTAAGACAGGGAGCCAAAATGGTTTACAGTAATCTAAATGCCTGTTGTGGCTCTGTCAGCTTCCCAGGGGTTAACAGGCAATGCATGTATTTACTTCACATTTCACTTCAGGACAAGTTGAATTTTTTGTGCAGAATTTAGAGTAGAATTGTTGCAGTTGGTGCTTCAGTGATGCACACTGACAACTTCTGTCGCCGTGTGTTAGAGCTGAGTCTCAGGTAACTGGTATCTGGTAACTTCTCTCTCTCTCACTCTCTCCTCTGTAGTCTATATGTACTATTTTGATAATCCTGGTGGCATGATTCCAACCTGGCTGGTCAACTGGGCTGCCAAGGTAAGGAAAGGACACAGATAATGATCTCTGGCTAATCTGTTTCAAGCAGTGGATTCACTGCAGTCATACCCATCTTCTATGTTTTGGGCAGAAGTAATTTTTTTCTGAAACATATATTGGCCTTCCTAGCTTTTACACAGTCCCATATTTATAGTCTCACCATGACAATGGTCTTAATTTACTTATTTTAATTCCTGTCAAATTCCTTTGGTTTGTCAACCAGGCAGGTAAATTTCTGCAGCAAACCCCAGATAATCTGTGTTTCAGAGCGTATACGAATAGCCTCAAGACAAGCAAATTTCAATGATGCAGTTTGTTCCCAAAGTATTCGAGGAGTGGCTTGATGCTATGTACCAGATCTTAGACTTGTATCTTAGACAATTGTAAATTAGATCTTAAAACTGTATCTGTTTGAAGTCATTGATATATTTAATGGGAATTGCCATCTTACTTACAGTTTTTATTGAATTCATTATGCAAGAATAACTTTTCTGCCTTTCTCTTTACAGAGTGGTGTGCCTGCTTTCTTGAAGGATATACAAAAAGCTTGCCTTAATTATTCTAAGAGTACAAATTTATCTTAATCATTTAATTCCTAGATCTCTGCTCTTACAGGAGCAGATGTTATATATCACACTGGATAAAGTCTACCTCCAATATTGGAAAGAATGAAAGAATTTTATTTTAGTTGATTTATGCCTTGAGTTTTATTAGATTTTTTTCTACTGAAGAGCTGGCCACTGGCAAAGTAGCACCAATATCAGCTGCAGCTTTTGAAAGTACTCAAATTTAGCCTTGTTCCCCATGCTTTGCTTATGTTGGTTGTCAGGTGTCAGCTAGAGGAGTTCTGTGCTAGATATGTTACATCTTTGCACAAGAGACAACAATCTTACTAGAAAAATATCTGAACTTGGACTGCAGATTATCTGCATGTGTTATGCCTGGATCTGCTTTTGCTACCCAAGTTTGACATTCTTAAACTCTCTGCCTGATATAAACCTAAAAAATGCTGAGGGATGAGGAAAATTACTAGAAATGTGCAGTAGGAAGTCTGTGATGCTAAGGTCCCTTAAATCCAGATGTAAAAAGATCAAGCCTAAAGCCTTGCATTCACAGCTCTGTACTTCTGTACAAAATGTAAAAACCTTTAGCTGTGTCCAACTAGAAGAAAAAGGAGCTGCAAAATTCTTCTTGCATGTCTGATTTAAGGGGAACAAGATTTATCTTCAGAGTCAGTAACCTTACCTATAAAGCAGCTTGGATACCAACTTGAAACTGGAGGTAATTTTAAACCAGGTGCCTGCCACCGAATGTGGATGAGCTTGGTGTGGAACTTGGGCTTGCTTGCATTTTTAAATTTCATGCTGATATAAAGACTGGATATAAAAGCTTAACTGAGCAGGAAATTAAATTTCCAGCACCTTTTCTGGGGGGGTGGGGGGAGGGACAGGGAGTGCATAAAAGAATGAGAGGACATCATTCTCAGGGATTTAAAATATTCAACATTTTTCCTAAATCTAATTCTGTTTCTGAATAAGTCTGGTAATGGAGTAGGTTTGTGTTGTTAAAAAACAAACAATTGAAATGACGCCTTTACACCTTGTGTGAATATTTCCAATAAATCATTATTTTGTCCAAGTAGTTCTGTCTCCTAGTTGTTCTGTCTCCTAGGTTTAAGAGATCCAGGCTGGGCAGGCCACAAATGACAGGCTGATACCGTGAGCTGCCTTACTTTTAAAGGATTTTGAAAGAAAAATTGGATTAGAACTAAGCAGGATTCTTGTGTTCTGCCAGCAGTTCAGGCATTTCTCAATGTTTGACTTGGAGACTGTCACTGGATTGAATATTACAGTGTTACACAACATGATATAACAAAATTTTAGGAGACTGAGGATGAATCTTCCTGGAACAATGATGCAGACTAATTAATTTCCAGTTTCTTTCTGAGCAAAACTGACCTCTGTGCCACAATAGTCCAAAACTTACCTGTAATTGTAAACCTACCTTAAAACTTGAGTTTAAATGTTTACAAGCAATGTGTACCTAGTAAGGTGAGTATGTGCACGGAGATTAATCATGTACAAAAGAGGTCATTTTTTCATTCTTTTTCTCCAGACAATCTAAGTTTGTTTAGTCTTTAAGGAAGTGAAAGCAGGAGGAAGACTGAAAGCATTTTATAATCAAGAATTCACTTTATCTTAGTTCCTTGTCACCAAAACAGGGTATCCATGTGTGTGCAGTGTGCTGAGACACTGAGGCTGAGAGCTCAGGAGGCTGAATGGCTCCATTGTCAATCCAGCTGAAAATTTGATTTCCTGCACACCCTGCACTGAGCTTGTAGAATACACAGCCTGTGCTCACATATCCATGCTGAAACCATTGCACAGGCAGCTTCTTGTGCTATGCACAACTTTCTAAATTAAAACACGTTTGATTAAACAGCAGACACAGCTTTTCCACTGTTTACAAGCAACTAAGCAATGATGTGAGATGAAAGCAACATCAGATCTTGTCTTTAGTTCCCTGTGGGCTTTTAAAATAACATAAATATGCAGTGACACTTCAGTTTAAGTCTGGGTTACTACACCCATCTTGTATTAATAGGGAAGAAAAGTTCCAGCCTGTGTGATGAGGCTTCGTATTTGGATGGAAGATTGTGACTAGAAAGAGTTGGTATTTTCAGTCTTTGGATGTAAAGACATTCTTAAATAATTTTAGAGCATTATTAATGACTGATTAAATATTGATCTTCCATAAATTATACATGTATCATGTGAGCCTTTCTGCATCACTTGAGCAGGAATTTACCTGCAGTGAAAGTTGTTAAGTCACCATGCATTGTGAATTCTGGTGCACAGGGCTATAAAACATGAAACCTCCTTCCCTTGCTATTTTTTAATGTAGCACCTCAAAGCTGGTTTTGTTTCACCAGCTTGCCTAAAACTGGAGTGTAAAGTTAGTTCTTTTAGTGATCTGTTGTAAGCAAGTGATTGTTTGAATAAAAAATGAATTAACATTTCTGTTAGGTGGTGATTGAGCCTCTCATCTTCTCTATCCCACCCCAATTAACAGATTGGGAGGTATCACACTACAGATTAACAAGGACTAATGAAGTTTTCTCAGCAGCCAAATAGGACTAGAAAAATCCTATAGTTTCAGCCAACAAACAGGCATCTGCTCCAGAGTGCAATATCAGAGTTTGCATAAATCATATAGATCTATTCTTATATAGAACTTCTGTTCTAAATTTAGCAGCTCTTCCTGAAACATGTTTTGGCATGTTCTTCACAGAAAGAAGTGGTGTTTTTTTGAAATGAGTGGCTCCCTGTCCCGTTTCCATAAGGAATGATGCTGTAACAGAATGAATATAAACCATTCCTCCACAATGTGTTCCAGCCATTCAAATCCATTCTTTCCATGCAATCTCTCTGTAAAATGGATGTATTTGAGTTGGAAGGTAAAGTGAGGGAAAGATTCTCAGTAATCCAAAGTCAACACAGAGAATGATGTCAGATTCACAGTCACTGGTGCTGCCTCTTAGAAGATGATGTGCAAAGGGAAACACAAGTTGCCTTTGCTCAGGAAACAACTTGTGTCACTTCTCAAGCAGGTCATCGTCTGTTTTATGGTTTAGTGGAACAAAAACTGTGGGAAGACAGGGGGATAGACTGCTGATGCTAGTCCATGCTGGGAGATGATCTATCTTCCCAGCAACAATTTTGCTTCCCATTATGTCAGTTTTCTATGTACAAAGAACTTTTTCAAAAGGGATCTAATGATACTTAAATGTCACTCAGCTGAGAGTGATTTCTCCCTGAGCACATATTTGCCTTCCTCTATCAAGATGATAATTCATAACCAAATTTATTGTCTCTCTGTAGTTCTCTGATCAAATTACTACACTTTCAGAAAAAAAAAAACCTTTGTTTTCACTCATCTCAGTTAAAAAACACTGAAAACTTCCATAAAAGTTAGTTTCCACTGTAGTTCTCTGATCAAACTACTACACTTTCAGACAAAAAAACTTTGTTTTCACTCAGTTAAAAAACACTGAAAACTTCCATAAAAGTTAGTTTCCAAAATAGAAAAGAAGGCTTGTGTCAGGAGCAGAGTTGTTATAAATCCAGATGGACTGCATGAAAGATGAATACTTTTTGAGGAGCAATAAAAAAGAACAAATGTAGGAATGTGCCCCCTGTTGACGCAGTGGCAAAACTATCCTTTGTCCCCTTAAAAAGGAAAGAAGCCCAGAAGTTTCTCTCCTGGGTTAGGTGAAAAGCCACCTCATGGGCCTAGGGGACTTCACCTCAGACTTAAGGATAGCTAATTGGACAGAAGCCAAAAAGTCCCACCTGGGCAATTTACTAGAAAAAGAAGAGAACAAAGAAACTAATGGCTTTTGTGAGGTGTTTTACCAGGAGCAAGAACCTCTTGGACTTGTCTCGCTTTTTCTGTTTGTTATTTTGCCTTTTATTAAACCTTTTTGTTTCCAACACTGCAACAGAAGCCATCCTGCTGATTTTTATGCCTCCAAAGGTAGCTGAGCTATCTTGGGTGTGATACAGACCTCCAAGAGCTTATGAGATCTGGCTCAAGGAGGCTCCTATAACACACAAATCTCTACAGCAAAATTGGTTTTGCTGGGTTTTTTCATACCACTCTTGTTTACAACTGCAGACCTTGGAGTCCTGATCAATAAGGTAAATAAAACTGGTGTTAAAGCATCCTACTCATTCTTCTCTGTAACTGCCAAGGAACATATTAATTAAGATTACATTTGCACACATAAAGAGATTGTCATCTTTCTGTCAGCTCAGTATTCCCTCTTCTTTGAGAACTTAACCATAAACAATTATTCTCATTTGGAATCTGAATGATAAATGTATCCCGGAGTCCTGCTGTGAGACAGGAACATTTTAAATGGGAACTCTCCACTGGAAACCTTCATTTCCAAAGTAAGGACTGCATCCTGTGAATAAGTGTTTCGATGGAACCTGCCTTCACAATCATGTCAGAAGACCTTGAACATACATATTCATTTTAGCTTGTGAAAAATTTCCTGCATCCCAGCTGTGAAACAGGTTAAACTGAAAGCTGTTCCTGCAGTATAAGCAGTATATTACAAGTACCTGTAATATTAAGATTTAGTGAGTTGCCTTTATCTGTACTCTCTGGATTTCCTGCAAATTCTAATATTTTTCTAAGGCCTGTTTCAGCTCTGGAGGCAAAAGAGATTATGTGATGGACTGTAAGAATCAGGTTTTGCTCCAAGTTTAATTGTCTTATAATTCTTCAAATATGGAAGAAACCCAAGAGAATTAATCATGTTATTCCTAGAATGATGAGTTTGGGATTGAAGCAGTTCTTCTACAACATATAAGGCCCAGGGTTCCTCCGTGCTGTACATACTGTGACCAGAAGCCTGCTGTGAAGTCACAAGGCTCACTGCATTTCTGCATGTCTTGGAAGGTTTTAAGTCTTTCCCTGTTTTGATCACTCAGAACCGTGGGGGATTTGGCTTTTATTATTCCTGGTGCATATACATGTCTTCCAAAGCATGATAGAAATTGTGTGTAATTGCCTGGAAATGGATATTTCACATTCAGCTGCAACTTGGAGTTATACTTTAAGAGTGGATTTTAAATATTATTTTTATTGAGACCAGGCTGCTGCTGTGCATTTTAAAGTTAATGTGTTTTCTCAGCATGGAAGCCGCATAATCGATTTGTACATTTGAGAGGATCTCACAAGAGGCCAAAATTGCCTGGCCAACCATTTACCCTGTGAAAGGCTCATGATGCTGTTCAACTATTCAAATGAAAACAAACAGTAGGAAAATGCCTTCAGCAGGAAATTACTGTGGCACTGGAAGGGCCTATTGTCTCAGAGTGTGAGGTGGGCATGCATAGGAGTACATTGCCTTCTACTCATTTTTCTTGTAACATGGGAATAAATTGACCCTTGATAACATTTAACGTGTGGTTCTAGGAACCAGGATGTTGAGAGCATTACCACTGAATAATGAGCTTGATTAATTCACTACAATGACAGTCAGGCATTTAGAAAAATTACTTTTCAATCCATTTGGAATGAGTTAGAGAATAAGAATAAAGGAGTAATCTGAGGATCTTTTAAGGTCTTTCAGCAAAGACAGGCCTAGAACTACCTGCCAGGTCACCAAATGCAAATATAGGCATCACATAATATAAGTTCTTCCCTTGCATAAAGTATGTTTCACAATTTTGTGCTTAACCCATCCCCTCTTTCAGACTTGTCATTCTGTATGCTCAATATCTTTGCTAGTAAGTGTGTTGAGAAAATATGACTTGTGTAGAGAACTTGTATTTTGCTCTTTTTCTAAATCATTTTTTTAAATGGCCAGTAGATATCAGAATGTTTTATGCCAAAATAAAGGTAGTTTTTCTCAGTGATGATAATCAGCAATGAAACAAATTGCTTTGAGAGACTCTGAAATCTTTGGTTTTGGAGATACTCAGAGCTGAAGTGGACAAGGCCCCAGGCAATTTATCTAACCCTGAAATTAGAGCCAGCCTCAAATTTGGTGCTGCTCTGGTCTGTGGGTTTGACTGGATGATGAGATGATCCCATATGTCCCTTTCAAACTGAATTAT